GTGGGCGTCAGTAGATGTTCCATTCTCCTCAGTGATTCCAATGGATTCTGGTCGCACTAAGGACCCCTTAAGCACCATATCTTCTGGCGTATTTTCGAAGAGCTCTGACCAAAGGGTCTGCGGTCTTGCTCCGCGCTAAGCGCAGGAGGCGCACCTTACCCCGAGAAATCCAGTCGCTAACGGCTCTTATTCATCGTTTATCGTTCGTACGTATTACATGTTCGGTCTACCTTACCTTCGATAGTTTGGCGTTTTGAACGACGCCTTTGGTTTCTGATCTTGACGTAGACCAAAGCATTGGATATCTTCCCTCACTTGCATGGTACGAGATACTCCTAGCATCGTTCTATCTACTGCCCATTTCATTGTTCTGAAAGGACTTTTATGCTCCTTGCTGTGTGACCAACTTTCTGATGCATAGGTTAATGGAGGAATCAAAAAGGTGGGCATGGAGTCAGGTGTTCTTTGTTCTTTATACTATATCCGCGATGCACTTGTAACCTTCTTACTTTCCCCTGCCCAGCTCCGGAACTAAATCATTCGTCATTTTGAATTCCTGATCTAAATATATTTAGCTGAAGTTTTCGGAGATACTGATTCCGTTGAACATAAATTGAGCATAGGAAACATATCCGTTCTTCATAAACATCGTTTCTGTGAGATTTAGTCGAAAACCAAACTTTCCACAACCGGTATCAATGTCATCTAGCATTCATTCCTCTTGACTAAAGCTTTGCGTCATAAGACGATTTTATCAGCAAAGCGAAGATCTTGTAGTTGCCGACTATCCATACTGACTTGTTTTGCCATTCCAAAGTTTTCGATCTGGAGTTTGGCCGTTAATGACTTTGGCGAGACGGTATTACCTTGCCTAACTCCTCTTTTGACGTCGATATTAATATCATTATAGAATGGTGATGTTTTGGTTGTGAATTTTTACATAGTGCACGCTTCCATGACTGCAGTGTCAATTCAGTCAAAAAATTTCCTTTAATCGATGAAATCGAGACAGAGCAGTCCCTTGTTCTGTCGCAATACTTCAGTGAGTTTGATTATCGTATGAATATGGTCCGTCGTACTGAATCCTTTTTGAAATTGACTGCTCACACGGTTGTTCTTCTCCAGTGTTCTCTGAATCCTGTTTAGGATGACTCGAGCGAAAAGTTTGTAGACGACAAAAGGCAAACAGAGTGGGCGGTAGTTGCCCATATCGTGAAGGTGTCCTTTCTTGAACAATGAGACGGTCTTTCTGTTCTTCCTTTCAAAAGAAACCTTAAACTGTGACAGCTATCGTTTGATTAGCCAAGTTAGTGTGTTGATGAAGACTGGCGGATAGTTCTTCAGGTGTTCTGGTCAATTAAATTTCACCAAGTAAAATTATGTTGCTCCCAAAGAAGAGAACACGAATAAATTACGTAAATCTCTTAACATTCGGTTTTAACCTACACAAAGAAGTTTGTTTTGAATCGTTGACTAATATACTGGTGCCCTACGATGTACTCTGAAACTTTTGAACACTTTTTGGCACATTTGTTTGAAACACAATTTTGTCGCGGTTTACAAAGAAGAATCGTTCCTAACGTACAACCGGGCTTCTTACTGCATTCAAATTTCATTGGTATTTTGGTTATTCAGAGAGCATGTTGAATGCGTTTATGATAAATCTGTTCTATCTCTGATATTTCCCAATCAATGTGTCTGTCGAAAATTGTGTAACACTTAGTAAATAGGATACGGCGTTGTGAAATGAGAAGTTGTAAATCTTCATCTTTATTGCCTTAAGGTTCAATAACTTGTCCATTACCTGCCTTTTCAAATGTTCATAGTGTGAGGCGTTGTGCATCGACAAACATAAGTGGAATATGAATAAACGTCGTATTAAAAGTGCTTACAGGTGCTTCGCTTGAGCGATAAACCACAGCGTTATTCTAAAATGCTTCCCGAATCTATGCTAATGAAGTTCATCAAGGTATGTAGTTTTTTCTCCAATGGCTACATGGTACAGTAACCTCCAGACATAGGCAGACGAAAGGACTTCAATGGACTCTGGTGCCCTTTTTTATAGTCAATTCATGGTTTTTTTTTCGTATAATATTGTACTTTCGTGTTAAATGCTTGATTTTTTTATTAATTTAATTCGTTGGTGCAGCGAGTTAGCCGAGAACCGCATCAGCACAAGAAATTAATAGAAGATATTTTCAACATGTTGGAGTTCGACGTTGCGGATACTATTAACTTCATGAGTGCATTCAAGGTATACCTTCAGTTTTTGTTTTGCTACTAAATATATTCTAGCACTTTTATTTACTACCTTTTTTTTAATGGCAGGATATGTTGCGAAGTATAACTCGTATATAATGCTGAGATATTTGCAAAACTCCGGATCGCAACTGTCTGCGGTGGGGAACGAACACGCGCTATTGTCCTCTTCGGGGAGTAGCGCACTTCACCACCACACCATCCGCCTGGTCCTTCGTTTTGCCTGTCTCTCAGCTAGTTCTATTGATCTTTTGCCATCAGCAATCACCCGTCAACGGGATTGATCTGGGGAACCCGCATGGTGTGGTGGTGGTGAACGCGTTACGTTACTCCCCAGAAAGGACAATAGCGCGTTCCTTCCCCACCGCAGGCAGTTGCGGTCCGGAGTTTTGCAAATATCTCAGCATTATAGTAGTCATATTTTAGCAGTTAGCATTATAGTAGTTATGTATATATCGAGTGGTCGCTATGATTTACCTATCTAGTCACAGAAGAAAGGGTAAGTTGTTGTTAACGTTGTTTAAAGCTTTTGAAAACGCGGTAATCATCTGGTTACACCATGTTCGGTAAATTGGCAGAATGTTTCTTAAACATGAAATGTGCAATCAGCCGAGACAACTTCTCCTTAACAAGGTACTTTGAGAAGAAGGTCTCCAAAGAAGTGTTGTCGGTGAATGAAGCCGTTTCCAAATTACGAAATATTCCTGCACAAACGGAGGATAGTGGTATGAGTCCAAAGGATATGGTGAACACTAGTCCTTCGATTTAAGAAGTTTTCCACAAAATCTACGATGACAACTTGGCCGATTTTGCCATTCCTGCCTACATTGTGCTGCATTTGCTGTTGACGATCTCACCTGTTCTACTTTCTTGCGTGCTAACCATGTCGCCAAGGAACTTTTCATTTGATAACTCTAACGTGGTTCACTATATTATCTCACCTAGTTAGACAGTAATCAGTACTTATCTATCGTCAAGTTGAGTGTAAAGGAAGGCAGTTTTGTGCAGACAGTACACACGAGGACTTGATTAACTCATCAGTGAGCAAATTCGCTAAATATGGAATAAAATCGAACGCTATTCACTCACAGCTTCATGTGTCATTATTGGTCAATGTCTTATAGAAGACTAAAACTGCAGAGTTCAAGATAAACTATCGTGAGGCTCAACTTGAGGAATTTCCCTTCGACTCGGTTTATGACAGTCTAATTGTTGCTGCGGCTGTGATTACCTCGATCATAACTTGTTCAAAAAGACTATCGTATTCCCTGTCAATATCATCAAGAAGGACATCTTCCCAGCAGCCGGCGAACAGCTAAATAAATCCTGTTTCATGGTAGTTCTGCAGTTTCGTTTTTGGAATTTAGTTGCTTTTTTCCTCTCCCCGAGAAATGAAATCTTGCGCGAAGGTGGTGGTTTCATTCCGTGCAGAGTTTTTAGGACAACAGCGATATCGGTTGAGCAAAACCTTCGATTTACTATGATATAGTCGTTATGGTACTTTCCACTGGGGGACTTCCAGCGTTGGGAGTGAAGCTTCTGGAATTGCGAGCTACCATGAATGGTCTTGGTTGTCGTGGTAAACTCAGAAAGAACTCAGAAAACCGCCGCTTTTTGTCGAAACGCCTCCGAAGTTATGATAAAAAAGACATAAGTTTATAACAAGCACGTAAGAAGGATGAAGCTGTCGGCGTTGGTCAATCCGTGATGATGTGTCATGCATACAACTTCATCAAACATCGTTAGAGGTGATTGTGTGCATATATGGCCCATACAATGATCAGATGTATTGCCTATTGAACGATTTAGACTTAATGGATCCTAGAACTTTTTTTTATGGTCTCTAGACATCTCGCTAATTTCTTTTACAGTAGCACGATGCTTGGCCCGTTTTGAGGTATTGCTGGTGTATTTCAATCCATTAGGGTAGCGCCTGCCATGAAAATTATAGAAGGCAGAAAACAAAACGTTAAACATTGTGATTTCAACTACAGCCATAGCTTAACTGGGTTCTATGCCGATTTGCGCTCCCCAGATCAACCCCGCTGACGGGTGATTGCTGTGGCAAAAAGATCGATAGAAATAGCTGAGAGACGTGCGAAACAAAGGACCCGCATGGTGTGGTGGTGAACGCGTTACTCCCCGGAAAGGATAATAGCGCGTTCGTTCCCCACCATAGACACCTGCGGTCCAGAGTTTTGCAAATATCTCAGCAACGTTGTGGTTGTATTTCGCTTAGTAACCTGCCATGAAAATTATAGAAGGCAGAAAACAAAACGTTAAACATTGTGATTTCTACTAGTTTAGACAATTTAACTCGCGGTGGCCTAGCGATATATCGAGTCAGTGCTGCTATCCTCCCAGACATGTCTAGTACCAATTTTCTATTGAAATATTGGAGAAAGCGATTCAAATATTGGAAAGAGAAATGAGCTATATACGACTCATACTCGGTGCCTTCCTATTTATCAATCTTGTATAACCTTTGTGTTTCGCAAATATGTCAAAAGAAGGAGAAGAACGGCAGCTAGAATAAGCATATCTCGAAGATTCCTCAAGTGTGTTTAAAAGTCCTAAACATGCCAACATTATGTGAAGTCTTATTTCCAACAATAAGAGGAGATCCGAACTTTATAATCATGGTTTGCAAACTACGTTTCTTCAAAGAATCCAGTATGTCTGATACATTCTCATTTTCCAAAACAAAAAAAATTCTTTACTAGATTGGAGTCATTCCGGAAATGATCCATTGCGGTGGGACAGTCCTTGATGCTCCAGTCGCTATTGATAAGGTTTAATTTTACCTCTGAATGTTAGAATCCTGTGCAAAGTTTCCTTGATTTAAGAGAGCGAAATTTTCAGGAAAGAAATGAGGTACCTATGACACCTGAACGTGCCATCAAGAAGAAAGAACTTAATGGTAAGTTGGCTTCGTCCACTAATGTGTACGAAATGTTGTTCGACATCTCCATAATTCCCAGACTCCATGCTTACATGCTTTTTTTCTTCTTCGTGGCCTTTATATTTGCTCTACTTTTGCCTATCCTTTTCTTTAAAGAATCGCCCGATGGTGAAGTGATATGTGCAGTCGTTGTCATGACAGCTCAAGAGGGAATAGCATGTGTCTCACCGGAACAGTCAAAGAAAGTTGTTTTTCTTTTTTCAAAAGACCGTGCCATTGTTCAGTGATTGGTGTGCGGTGTTGTAGTAGTTGCACCTGCACTAATAGGATATTTTACATTTAGGCAATTTTTCGAAGATTTGGTAGACAAATGTCGCGAACGTGGATTGCAAGTGGCTTCCGAACCTCTTCGGGTTAAGAGGATCTTAATTTTCTTGCATGTTTTTGTCTCTCTCTATTTATATTTCTAGGTGTACCACAACATTGCTATTGATGATTTTGAGAAGTGCATCAAGGGCGTAACTACACACTTTTCCAAGCTACAACCTGATGATGGTGATCGTAACATGGAAAAAATCCTTCTTGTGATCGTTATAAACGATCGTACTTACTTCGGAAATAAATATGCGAGTGGTCTGAGTTCTTACGGTGGGCACATTTGATCTTGACTTTTACATCACATTCACTTGCTGTTATTACTAATTTCCTTATTTCCATACTGTTTTATAGGATTTATTAAATCAATCTGTGACAACAATTATGGTATTGCTAGCCAAGTTGTTGACGCTTCCACTGTTATTAAGGCGACATCGGCACCAACGAAGTACGACGACTAGTGTGCTTTTTCAGTCTCATTGCCGTTGCGGAACGAATAGTTTGTTCTCAGAAATATTATGAGGCAAATTTGTTTGCAGGACAGTTTACTACAATATTGCGTTGAAGATTAATGCGAAGTTAGGTGGGATTAACCAGGCAGTCATTTTCGACGACGATTCGAGGTAGTGATAGATGTTCTGAACAGCCCGTTGAGTATTGTTCTTTAATCTCATTAATCATAAGGTGTTGCTTGTCGGTAACGCTTCGTTTCTTTCTCGGGCGTGCCTCTTAATTCCGTTTAGTGGCTGAACTCATTCGTCACTGAATCAGCTGCAATTCCTATAGCAAACCGCCAAATTCACTGACATCATGGTGGTCTACTAACCTGTTCAGTCTAAAATTCTCGAATTTGCTAGTTGAAGCTTTCAACTTTCTTTACGGAACAAATTTTTCGTTTGACAATGCAAAATTGTTGTTAAATACAAGTTTCTGTTCTTTATATTTTCAGTTTCTGTTGTGATTTCTGCTCCGTTTAGGGCGTTGGATTAAAAAAATGAAAGAATGCCAAAGCATGTTTTTGTGAGAATCGGGGTTTGAGCATGAAGCTGTTGAAATTACCCACAACGTCAAAGTTTTATTTGTCCACGAACATTTTGCGATCGTGTAGTGCAATGCTCATTTGAAGTTTCGTGTTGAAAATGATGGTCAGTGATGGCGTGCTGCTATCGACGGTGATAATTCGGTTATGTGTTTCGAAAGCTTGTGAATTTTTGGTGACAGGCTGTTTTTGTTCGTCAGATGTAAGCACCCATGATAGCATTTTGAATCCATAAAAGTAGCTTTAGAAAAGTGAATTAACAAAATACACCTAGAACTTCATTGTTTTTCACCGCCATTTATCAGCGAAGGAAGATGTTTTCTAGTGCGCCGTTATGCTTTTTAATTTACAGTCCGTAAGCTGAAATAGTTAGGTTTCGAAGCTCTGCATCTGCTTGACTCACCTGTCCTGTCATTAGTCGATTATCACTTTTTCAAATAGATAGAGGCAGTAGATTTTCTCAAAATAGTTTGCATTTTTAAGTTTATAACACGTTTCGAAAAATGTGTTGATCGTAGTGGCGCTCGCTTTAATGAGTAAAATTGACGCGTAAGAATTAGAGTACTTTAAGATTTGCTTCAAATTCATACATTGCATAGGTATGGTCTAACCACATCGTTTCTGATGATCCATACAACGCAATTTCTGGGGACGGAAGCATTTTGCCCATAAGTGTTATTGTGTTTTCTCTTGCCGATTTCCTTTTTCATCTCAAGTCCAATAGTCTTCTTTTCAGTTTCGAGATCAAAAAGCCACTGAGATACATGCAGACGGCTTCTCTTAAACCCACAACTTTTTGTTTGTAGAGATTAATACTTCATTATTTTTAGATCCGCTGAATTTCCAGAAAAGGATGCCGTCATGTACGTAGGAATCGATGTTACGCATCCAACCAACAAGGAGGATTATGACATCTCTATCGCTTGCATGGTTGCCAATATTGACTTGGCTGCTACGCGGTGGGTTATGTTTCATATGATTCATGTTCAATGGAATGCAGTGCTTTTGTATTTACTGCAGTAGTTTGTGCATCGGACTATATATAGTACAACGGTAGTAATGCTCTTCAACAGCACAGCGCAGAGGTGACTCCACTTCGCTCACCAAACCTCTCATCACTCTGGAATTGGGAAATTGGTAGCAGACCTGTCTGGCAACAGTGTGCTCCCGCCAGTCCACGTGGGAACGCTGCAGTCTGTTCGTCTCAGTGCTCCAAATAGAGTCGACTCGACAAGCATTCAACGAAATTCATGAAGAAGACAACAATCCTTAAGCATCAGCGGAATCTACGCGGGAGTGATTCGAAGATCTTAATGCGTAATGGACCCGAGGAAACGAATCGAATGCAAGAAGTACTGTAATCCGTACAGTACTGAAAGCGGGTCTTGTTATAGTGATAGAAATAATTGCTTGTGTACTCTCCTTTTAAAACAGTTGTTTCTAAAAAAGAATTCTCTCAGATACACAGAATGTAGTGGATTTCAGTACGTTTTTAAACATCAGGAAACCTTTATGAAATCGGAAATAAATGGGGAAACAACTCCTTAACATGTTAGAAGTAGCGTGAGTAATCACTTTCTCAATGAGTAGATTGCGCTATATCTAAACTTGCACAACCGGCCGGCGTACAACATAATTTAAAACGATCAGGCCAGTTACTTTATAATACTGAGTACGTCAATGTTTGATCCACCACTTTTGTTCAGGAAAGACTCACAGTGCAGATTCAGTGTTGGCAGCGTCCGTGAGCCTAATTTAGAGTGGAGCGATATTGCAGTTATTCCTTGAATTTCACGAATTTCTTTCTCGGACAGCTTTGCATGCTGCACAAGGCCAATCATTTACGACATAATGCTAATACACAAAAGTATATGCGAATACCACTTGGTAGTTTGGCGACAGTATACATTAGATTAGATGCAAGAACAAAGGCTGAATTGGGTTTTATGCAACAAAAAAAAAATAACTGTTTTCGAAAACAATCCTTATGCACGCTTAACAGCATTCATTTCGGTTATCCTTCCACTTGCCCACTATTATTCCATTTGGTTTCCATTTTTAGCTCACATCTCAGGTAGTGATGAAGAGTATGTAACACGGCTGAAAACAAGAGGCACGAGTAATGTGTTAAGGAACTAACACCAAGACCAGCGTTAAAATTGCGTAGACTGAGAGTATACGCGTGCATGTGATATGAATAATGTTTTCCTTATTTTAATACGGCCCTTCTTCTCATTTTCTGAGCGGATCCTATTATTCCTTGCATTAGATTCGTTTCCTCACAGCCATCACCCACGAGGGTGTCCGAATTGCTCCAAATTGCTTAGCGATTAATCAGCATGAGATCTCCCTATTAAGATCAGTGGTGAATCAGAGACGCAATTTTACACGCCAATTCGTTGGAGATAAAATGGGCTGGACACGTAATACGTATGAAGGACAACCGATGGAGAAGAGCCGTTAGCGACCGGATTCATCGGGATATCAAACGCATGACAAGAAGATTAGGGTCAGAGTTTTCACAAAAATACATGCTCAACGTGTCTTTCTAGCGTGTAGAACTCACTGGGCTTTTCTGACACACGGCAGAGAGAAGTGGAGGGGTTACTGGCGACCGCTCGAATCACTGGACGTTCAATGGGAAGACACGTGATACAGGTGATATTTATATATATATATATATGTATATATACATATATGTGTGTGTGTACATACACATAGATACATACGTATGCAACCTGCATCACCTGTACTCTCATTGATCGTCGATGACTCGAGCGCACGGCAGTAATTTTCCATTTTTCCATGTCGCGTGTTAGAGTAGCCTAGTGGGTTCTACTCGCCTTAGGGGCTCGTTGAGCATCATATCTTTATTCTAGGCTCTTCTTCGTGAAGAACTCTGACCATCCTGTCGATGGTCTTCCTGCAGTACGTTTGACATCCCGAGGAATCCAGCCACTAACGGCTCTTGTCCATCGGTTGTCATTTATACGCATTACGTGTACGGTCCATCTTCGACTGTTTGGCGTACAGAACGGCATCTTTGATTTTTGATAGTTGACGCAGGTCGGGGCTTCGGATCCCTTCCCTTTCTTGCGTAACACGGACACAGATACTCCTAGAATCGTCATTTTGAGTGCGCGTTCGATAACGCTGAGTGACCTTTCATCCTGGTTACGCAGCGACGAGGTTTTCGGCGCATACTTTAGGGCAGAAAGCACCGTTGAGTCGAAAAGGTGGGCACGGAGTCGGGTGTTCTTTGCTCTCTTCACTACATCCTCGCCGTTCTTGAAAGCTCCCCAAGCCACTCGTTTTCTTCTCCTCAGCTCTGGAGCTAGGTCATTCATCACATTGATTTCCCGACCTAGATAGATATAACCGGAGCATTCGGAGATATTTGTTCCCCCTGAGCGTTAATAGGGCATACGAAACGAATCCCTTCTTCATGAACATCGTTTTTGTGAGATTTAATCGAAGACTAATCTTTCCACAAGATTTGTCAAAGTCGGTAAGCATACGTTCAGCTTGACTAATGTTTGATGTTATAAGGAGGTGTAATTACCGACCTACCGAGAGATTTCCACTCCCATATTATTCTATTCCAACGTTCGCATGCCGTTAACGAGGGTCGCTGTAAATAATTTTGGCGAGATCGCATCGCCTTGCCTAACCCCTTTTCTTACGTCCACGTTAACATCGTTGTAGAATGGCGATTTTTTGATTTTGAAATTTTTGTACAGTTCACGAAGAATCTTTACGTACTGAGTAGGGACTTCTTGATTATCAAGGGCTTCCATATCTGCTATATCAGTTGAGTCAAATGGCTTCTTTAAATCGATGAAAATGAGACGGAGCGGTCTTTTGTACTCTCGTGATACTTTATTGAGGCTTGTTATCGTATGGAGATGGTCCATCGTACTACACCATTTTCGAAACACTGCTTGCTCGCATTGCTGCTCTTCGTCCGTTGTTCTGTCAATCCTGTTTAGGATGGCTCGATTGGAAAGTTTGTAGACGACAGACTGCAAGCAGATTAGGCGACAGTTTCCGTTATCGTGGAGGTCTCCCTTCTTGAATATTATCACGGTTTTGCTGGTTTTCCACTGAGTAGGTAGCTTGCACTCAGACAGGTGACATGTGAGGAGACAAGCCAGTGTGTTTAGGAGGACTAGTGGAACGTTCTTCATGAGTTCAGACATTATCCTGCCTGGACCTGGTGCTGTCCGATTTTTCACCGACAAAATGGCATGTAGGATTTCGGAAGGGAAAGCCGGTGGTACAACATATCCATCCTCCGTTATTTCATATGACGGAAGGTGAACGTGGCTATCGAAGAAATCTGATTAGTATTCGTGAATGATTTTCTCCATTGCCTTTCTGGACGCTGTAACTGTTCCGTCTGGGTGCTGGAGTGCAATCGTTTCCGTTTTGTAATTGGCGAAGCTCCGGTGGGCTTTGTGAATGCTTTTTCCAGCCTCTGCAGCTTCGGCTATTACTGCTGCTCTTCTCTCTCTAAGATCTTCTTTTATCGCCTGTCTGCTTCGAATGTCAGTTCGCAATTGCTTGCAGCTCGTGCGATTCCACGCTGGGGTATCAGCTCAAGTGTTTCTGGAGACAGACGTCTCTTGGTGACTTTCGAACTCTGAGCTTTCATAGCACTAACGTGAAGATATTGACTGAGCCGACCTTATTTCTCGTCGATGTTATCAACAACGGCGTCTTCACAACAGCCGACTAATGAATTGAATTAATCCCAGTTTACGGTAGTTTTGGGACTTCGGTTTTGGAATTTAGCAGCTTTTTCTCCTTTCCGCGAGAAATAGAATCTTGCAGGAAGGAGGCAGTGGTCTGATCCCGTGTAGAAGTTTGGGACAACAATAACATCGGTTAGGCGAAACCTTCGGTTTACTGTGATATGGTCTATATCGTTATGGTGGTCTCCACTGGGAGACTCTCACGTCCAGTGTTGAGGATGGGGATGGGGCTTCCGGAATGCCAGTTACCATGGATTGTCTTGGTCTTCATGATAAACTCGGAGCCGCTCACCGTGTTCGTTCCATTCTAATACGTGGGTCTCAATGTGACGTTCTTCAGACGTTCTTCTTGGTCCAGTCTTGGCGTTGAAATCTCCAACAATGACCTTAAAGAATGTGTGGTCTTCTCTGTAAAACTTATCCAAGTCCATATAGAACGCTTCGACTTCTTCTTCGTCGTCGTTTGATGTCGGCGCTCTGAACGTGGCGGCTGGGTATACTCACGGTGGCTTACCAGCCTCTCCCAGAGTGGGCATGGAGTTTATTTGCTGGAGGCGACTCCTAACCGCCTCCTGTATAGTGCCCTGTCACTTGATTGCAGGCGTTTAGCTGTGTTTACTCGTGAATGCAATCCGCTCAAGCGAAAACGAACCTACACGCATATCCATGAATGCGAACGCCTGTCAAATACAGAAAATATGCGCCAAATAGGCGCAACAGAAACAAAGAATCCATTCTCTGTATCCATCCACCTACGTCTCACGGAAACATTCGGTCGCTTTTGGTCTGCGATTGAACCCTTTTCCGCTATTTGAGGAAGTGCCACGTAGCCTCGCGTGTAGCCGGCACGAGAGGCCTCATATGAGGGAGATCCGTGGACGTAAATATATATATATATATTTACATATATGTTTATACATATATATATATATATATACATATATGTATATATATATATTTATATGAGATAGCACTATTACTCAGTTACCAATGAATGGTGGAAACATGTACACGAAGTGTAGAGTGATCTACCATGTATAACGGTTGATGCCCTTTTCGTTCAGTCGTACTACAGATGTTGTCCATTTTCTATCGAGGCGTCAGGTGATGAACTGTCCGGTCTTATTTTTTGGTATTCTTATCGTCATCAGAATGTATTAGTAGTCGACAGCTTGTTTTAACTTAATAAGTATTTTAAGACCAATACAATTTAATATTTTGTCATATTTTTCGACGAAATTATTGACAACTATCTAGGTATGTAAGTAAAATATTGGTTCAAATGCGCGCCAGAGAAACGATCGAACGCTTTGATGTCCAGTTTCGTGAATTAATGCTCAATTTCCGCGAGGTTTGTTATACGACGCTTTAGAGCGTGTTTTATATAACGAGTTTGAACTACGTTTACCACACAAGAGTTACCAGTTTTTTCTCCACCTTTTTGCATTTTATGACTGAGATCGGATCGGCTTAGTGTTGCAGCTGCTGTTACTGTTAAGAACACTGCATACTGTCTGAACTCAACGAACTCAGTAACTGCGAGGCGAATTTTCGTACTTCTCTAGTTTATAAATTTCTAGTTTATAGATTACAAAATCGATATTATATGGATCGCTAAACACTCGCCAATTCGAAGAAATCAGCGTAAACAATGCAGCGTGGAATAGCCATAAAAGAGCGTTGAGACGTTAGCTGAACACAAAATGAGACAAAGTTCTTGTAGAAATCATGGAGAGAATTTTTCAAATATGAAGAACACATTTGCAAAACTCGAACTTTTAAAACCGCTTAATTTTCAGCATACAGGGGTATGGCCTCGTCACGTTGTTATTTTGCGAGACGGGGTGAGCGATTCTGAGATGATACGGACCGCTTCAGTAGAGTTGTACTGTGTAAGGTATGAACTGATCTTATTCACTCGCGCTGCCTTTATTTAGGACTAAAACAAATTATATGCAATGTGAAAGAAATTTTCGAATGAAAATCCAGCTTAGGAAAGGAGGTCTGCTTCCCTCCAGGGTCGGCGCTTTACTG